TCCAAATCGTTAATAATGATCTTTGAAGGGAACCCTATCAACTATCATCCAGTTCCTGATGAGATGGAATAATTTATTACTTCAATTTCTCTGATTAATGTAAAATGTGTTTCAAATTTAGGTTTTCCTTTAATATTTAAACTTCCCCATGAGTGGAGCTGCAGAAGGGCAAGGTGATTGAGTGCCCTCCAAAATGACGTGGCATGTTCCCAAAGCAGGGTAAGCTCTGCAACTGGAGCCCATCAGCAATAAAAGCCATCATGCACCAGCAAATCCAGCTTGTTTCAGGACCCTGCTCTCCAAAAAGCATGAATCTCGGTGTCAGCCTGCCAGGAAAGGGCAGAGCCCCACAGCTCTGCTCACTCATGCCAGGGAAGAGAGTTTTTTAAAAATTTACCCTGTGAATTGAGAATTTTAAGTTGTCAAGAACATCTCCTCCAAAAAGAGCTGAAAAAAGCCCCAAGCTGGTGTAATTCAGGGTAAATTGTGTGGTAGGGCTTTTTCCTAAGAAATCAAATTATTTTAAGTAGGCTTCCTACTATTCTTTTACGTCATTTTTTTTTTTTTCAGAGCCAAAGTCAGACAAAACCATAGTGATTTTTTTTTGTCTTGGTCTTACACCGTGTAGGAAACCGAGCTCCAATATTTTGAGTAGCGAATGGCTGGTAAAACACATCCTACTTTCTGTGTCCTCCATGGACCATGCTGAGGCTACAGCAAACTGAAGGACTCATCTGTGATGGTCTTGGCTTGACCACTCATGTTGCCCCTCTCTGGTTCAGGAAGACATAGGAAGAGGACAATGTTCATATAGAAGGGTCTGTATGCCAAGGAAAGCTGAGCAATGGTGTAGTACACCGGTGAGCAGGGTGGAGAGCCCTTAAATATCTGCAGTGATTAAAAATCAGAGCCCAGACAAGAGGGTGTCTGTTTTAGAGAGAATTATTTATTAGAAGATAGGAGGTTGTTACATACAGATTCTGTCCTGCAAAAGTGTCCTGGTCACAGATATGTCAGGGAGACATTTAAACCCATTAGATCTGGCTCTGGTCTCCATGCAGAGATACTCAAGACACAGCAGAGCTCTGCCAGACCTGGCTCTGGTGCTGGTGCTCAGCTGGGGAGAGGCCTGGCGTACCACAGCATCCCTGAGCTCATTACACCATCTTTATTCCACTGGAAAACCTGGCCCATGGGCTGGAAACCAGTGGTGGGGACACCAGACAGTGCTGCAGAAGGGGCACCGTTCTTCCCTGGGGTAACCTGGAGGCGTTTTCCCCAAGTAGGGAATTGTCTTCCATCGTGCCAGCGATAAACATGGCTGAGCAAGTGGCTACGGAGATACAACCATGCTATGAGGTAGCATGAAGTAAATGAAAAGGAAAAGAAAAAAGAAAGATCTCTGTGATACAGAGAAGAGCTCTTCCCACACTGCCTCACCCCAAAACAGGCAATGCACCCCAAGCAGGCAATGCCTGAACCCCTGCAGAGACCTCCGAGAAAGCAGCTCTGACAGGTGGATCACAAAAAAGGCAGCAATTTTGCCTTATAATAGTTGTGCTCCTAGCCGTGTTCCTCCCAATTTCATGGGTGACCTGTTTTCTATTGGGTTGGCAGGTGGTATTTGTCAGCCTTTTGTAAGGTCTCTGCACAGCCCCTGCGGTGGCTCAGGGCTTTGCCAAGTGAAGCCCAGGTGCATCAGAAAGCTGCTGTGCTGGTTTTGTACCTCCTGAGCCTACTCCAGGCCTGTGGTACCATGGTATGCTGCCCAGAGTTGTGGACAGTGTGGCTGGAGAGGCAGGGACAAGAGAAATGGCAGATGAAAGGCATCAGCCACCACATGGGAAATAACAGAAGGGCCTGAGAACAAGCCTTCTGCAGATGGTTAGCGGCTCACAGCCAGCGTAGGCTTTGGTTTCATATCAGCCCCTGGGCTTTGTCCTTATTCCAGGTGTGCATCTTGCTGTCATCTGCCACTGTACATGTGGCAGAGCAAAGTGGGTTGACTAGAAGGGGCTAGAAGTTTTCTTTTGATAGACAACCATCAGTACGGACGTTTTTCCAACATCTAGTGGATTTCTTAAAGGACAGTATTGTTCAGGAGACATCTGTTTAACTTCCTAATTTATGGGTGCTGAAGGATAAATAGGTACTCCAGAGTCTGGCTCCTAAATCTGTTCCTCTGCTGAAGCCACATTCTTGTCTACCCAAAGGACTTTGCTGGCTGGGTCAGAATAGCACCTTCACTTCACTGTCTGCAAAGGCACATTTAACTCTATTTCTCCTTATTAAATCTCAGTCTATGGCTACATGTAAAACCCTGGACATACTTCTCCACTTTGCCCATTGTGTACGTGAGCTTTTGTCCACCCTCAGGACTCTATCAAGAGTATTGCTCTTTCAGCCCACAGTAATCTGAAGGAAAAACTATTGTCTGAACAGGATTGACAGAAATTTAACATAATTGTCAGAAACAACTGTTTATGGCTCATCTATCACTATATCTCTCTTCTCATCTTTAATCCAAGAGTGGCCTTTGTTAGCTTGGTATTTTAGAAACCTTTGAAACGAGGGACTTGGCAGCGAACGCTCACGGCTGATCCAATGTCAATACGAAAGATGGGTCAGACTACAAGACCTCAGAGGGGACGATTTATGAGTTGAGCATTTTTCTTTCACTGCAGATGACCTTCAAGGCTGGAGGTGCTGGGGATGGGGAATAACAGTAAAACTGCAGCTCTAAAGCAAAGCAGCAGACCCCCAGTTGTCTTTGGGATAGTAAACACAGCATTGAACTAGCTTTGACACAAATATGCCTATTTTTAATCAGGTTTCATGTTCCTAAGGCACTTGGACTCCTTTTTTGGAACATGCACCCCAGTAAGTCTTATGTTTGGGGTTGGGAGGGTTAAGACAAATATTCCATGAGGGCATAACATGCTTAGTTGGAGGGAACAGATGCTCTGGACCCACTGAGTTATCAAAACCTCTGGAGAAATCATGGCCACATCTTCAATTTTTAAAGATTTCTATGGCATTGGTTGTGCTCTCACCTTCTTCACTCTTTGGAAAGGGGTGGGCTGAGGACCCCCAGGCCCTCTGAAGGACAGCAAGATGGTGGCATTTGAGGAGGGAAACACCTTACTCCAATATAGGGGCTCAGCAAGGTGGAGCTCTTTGCCTACTATTTACCACAAAAGAACACATCTAGGACTTCGGTCTCCTTCCCTCCTCTCTCAGCCCCAACCTTTAAAACCCACCATTGCCCCAGCCTGGTCTGAGGTCTGATTCCAGCTTGGTCAAGTGGGAGGGACACAGAGCAGACAGCACATGCTGTCATTAAACCATGACACAGCAGAACACCTGATATTAATTTCAGGCTAACATTTATAGGTAGCTTTTTGCCTTCGTTTCCATTATTCCCTTCCGGAACTACTTCTTCAGCCACCCGTGATAAGAACTTGTTCCTCCTAGGACTTCTCAAAATACCTTCATGAGTGAAGCTCACCTGTCAGAGCTGCCTGGATGTTATAGATGAGAAAAGTTCCCACTGATGCTTTTGGAGAGAAAAGGCAGGAGAGGGGGACGTTTTCTCTCCAGAGCATGTGCACAAAGGCAGGAGGCTTAGGAGCCTTTTTTCCTCAAGACCAGCTAAAGCTGGACCCTGAAGTGTCCCTGCAGTGATGCGCAGCAAACGCCGAGCATCCTCAAGGTCCCACCCTGGCACGAGCAGTGCTGGACTTCCCAGATCTCTTTGGGACCCCCTGTCCCAAGGGCAGTGGCGAGATTTGCTGCGAGGTAACGCTACGTGGCTGCACTATGGAAGTTCTAACAGGGAGAGCAGACATGGAGGAGCTGGAGAAGCTCAAAGCAGAGGAGCGCAACGCACTGGGGCTCCAGCAGCGCGCGGCAGAGAGGGGCCGTCACCCAGACTTCGTGGCACTTCATCGTCACTATGTTTTGAGTATCTCAGCTGGACATGTACGACCAGTTCTAACAATATCCAAAAGAAACAACATGTCCTCGTTTGTACAGTGTACAGCATCACAGGGGAATAACCCATTACATAGAAACGTTTTGAACATTTTGAACTTTGTAATTTAACTGCCAACCCTTTCCCTTGAAATTAATCACCGATGTACATCATATAATCAAACAAGTTTTTTTAAAAAGTACATCTTAATATAAATAGTTTATTCAGTGCATGGTTGTGTATACAACAAATAATAAACAACTCTTTTGTACGAGGCAGAGAGCTGCCCGTACAGAACTATGTCAGTTTTGGAGCACAGAATCCAACGATGATTAATGCACAAAATCTTACACATCATGCAACTCTATGCCAATATTCCAACTTTCTCCCATGCAACAGACATGATGACCTAAATGGAAACCTAACTACATTTTTTTTAAACAATTGTTTCCAATAGCATGTATAAGTATATGTTGTTTAGGGGTAACCTGTCCTAACGCTTCCTCCTACACAATATTCACGTGCCCGTTACAGTGAAAGAAGGACTTTTACAAATAAGACGTTTCTTATAAAAAAATTAAGTCACCTTAATTCCACAGTTTCTGTCTTTAGAAAAGAAGCCACAACAATAGTTTAACATGACACACAAAATGGAATTAAGAGAAATCTACACTGGAGGATAATTTTATCCCTTTCTGTTAACTTCCACTTGGGATAACAAAACAACTCGATTCCTACAGACTGGGGTTAGCACAAGAACTTTACCAGAAACTACAAATCTATAAAAATTTATATTTCATTGTGTTTAAAAGCACAAGAACACTGTTTGCTTGAGCCTGAGACACCAACTCTCAGTTCCAACCCTGAATTTTTAATTATTTTTTTAAAGACATAGCTTTAAAGACCCATTGGAGTTCAGAAATCAAAAAGTTGCACTATTCCAAATTAACGGATACATTTTTTATCAAGCCTTAGATATAAAACGGTAAGCCAAGGAAACAACAGAGTTTACATATTTGTTTTTTGTTTGCCCCTATAAAACATACAAGCATTAAAATTTCCTTTGAAGAGCAAAAGTGGTCTTTTTCTGAGTTGGAAAGCAAATTCTTATCAGCAGTGAATGCTGTGAAATGTTTTTGTTTCGTATTCCACAAAGCATAGGGGAGAGAGAGAAAGAGAGAGAGAAAAAGAGAGAGAGAGAAAGAGCTGGACATTTCTTCTCCGAGATTTATTCCGCAGTTATGTTTGCTGGCTATCCAAGTGCCTTGTGATATGCACAAGCATATTCTACATTATTGGGATATATCCTTTGACAACCAGTAGATCTAACGGCTGATAAACGAGTGACCTATGCAAGTTCGGTGGCTTGTCCTGGGCAATTGAACGTTTGGATGAAAGACTGCTAGTAAGAATTCAACTGCATCCAGAGGTAAGGTTCTGTTTAGAGAGCACTTGGCTTGCCTGAACCTGGCTACGTTGACTCGTTTTGGCTCATGGATTTACCCCCATTTAGCACTCCTGAAACGCTTCTGCTCTTTGTTGGGGTCCCACTTCCAGATCTTGAGAACTCTGTGAGATCGTGGAGAGAAGGCTCTTTGTACATGGCCACTGCAAAGCAAAAGAGAGGCAGCACATCAGCACGCGTTACGGGCTACTCAGTCGGTTGGTGCAAAGTCCATCTGCGAAACGTTGGGATTTTTCATTCAGCAGTAGTCAATGTAGGGAGTGAATGAAGTAAACATGGCAAGGAGACCTCTTCCATTTCAAACACTCCCTAAGAACCTCTGAGCTCCTCTTCAGAGGAATGACATTTCAGAGAAGGGAATAACCACAGCTCCCTCCCTCTCCCAGTCAAATCACCCACCTAGCCACTGCACTTAGGAAACTCTGCAGGATAGACCTAAGCTGATATAAATCAACATTTCCTTACTAATGGTGAAGTAGCGCTGTTGGCAGCTGTTATTTGACCTGTTACTTGTATACATAGCCTAAGCAGGTGGGTGCGAAAATGGGTTTTCATTCTTCTATTTCCTTTGTTTCCACACACATTAGAAGTGAGGATCAACCTCGACATCGGTTGCCTAAACCTTGTCCTAAATGTAGACTGCCAAACTAGTCCAGCAGGCACCCAGGGCTATGCACCTTTGAGATCTCCTCTCTGATTTCAAAATGACACACTGCCTTAAAAGGCTACTTATAAGAGCATAAGCCAGAAATAGAGGGCTTTGTTCCTCTTAAGAAAGGAGCATATGGAAGCTGGTTCTTCTCGAGAAAAGGAGCACCCCCATACATCGACTGAGATCTCCCTCTTTGCATTGACCAAAGAGGGAGCCAAGTCTGTCCACAGTCCTGATTCAGGGGCTTCAGTTAACTGGGATGACTTTAGGTCCTGGCTTTTAATACGCAGCGGTGTACATATGCCACATGCGTTATTACCTTTAATGTCACATGCTGATGCCACGTTAATTGCAGTTTAATAAGCACCGCGCATTAGAGCTTTATCTCAGGCAAAACCAGACAAACATCCTGCAACATAAGGCACAGATTGACAAGCTGTACAGCAAGTCACTGATGGCTTGTGAGCAGACGTTTGAGCCGTTCCAGGTAGAGCCTTCGTTATCTGTAACGGAGACGCTGTGGCCTTTGAGCACAAACAAATATGCGTATTTGCTTAGATTAGAGAAATGCAGAGGTAACATAGAGAAACCTAAAAAAAAGCAGCTCTGGTTAGATTAAAAGCGTGTTACAGAACATTATACTCCTGTGATGTAAGTAGCTGAACCCTTCAAATATGTATGCACAGTGATTAAACATCTCTGACACAAGATAATGCCCATTCAGATAGACGCAGCAAACCCAAGCAATTACCTTTTAAGGGTTTGGGAAGAAAGTGTGCTGCAGGTTTGTTTTTCTTCACGTGGTTTCCTTTCATTATTTCTCCTTCTTTGTTAAGACCCAAATACCAACCCCGGCCAGACTGTTGCTGTCTGTAGATCATTGAAGAATACGTCACGTAGTAGTTTTCAAATACTGATTCTTTGAATTTGCATTCAGGTGTAAAATGTTCCTGTAAGAAAGTAACAGATCAATATGTGCAGTGCTGAATCTCACGTCAGGTAATGAAAAAGCATCCAATCCACTGCTTTCCCAACGGTTAAAAGACGTACCTCTCATCCTCCACTATCCAATTACAAAACACAGGCCCCAAAAGTATTAACAAAAGAGTAACACAATTTGAAACCTGTGAAATGATGCTGTGAGCAGTTCAAAGCAGCATAATAAAATCTTTTTGAACAATGAGTAAAGAGTCTAAGTGAAGAATTATTGATTCGTGCAACTAATGGACATTAGGCAGATGCAGCCCTGATGCCAATCCCAAGGGACCGGCTGCGGTCCAGCCCCACCGGCGAGAAGCGAGGCCATGTAATGCTTTTATGCATTAACTGCTGGCCTTAACTGCTCATGAAGAAAGTGCAATAAAAATTCAAAGCCAGGATGCCACGAGTAAATGGTCGTCTCTTACTAACCCAGCAATATTAAGTTAGCTTCTAGCAGCTGCCTCTTTGGTCTAATCTATGCTCTGTCTCTGCCCGGCGTATCATCCACAGAAAGCCAACCTGTCAGAGACCACTGCAGACATTAGCCTCTGCTCTGGGACTGGCAAGAGTTAAACGTTACCACAGCTGAAAGTGTACAGGATCGAGCTTTAGTCTTCATGTTGAGCTGCTCTGCTTCTTTTGGGGAGATGGCATTGGGCTAACGGTTAAAATAAAGAGTGATAACCCAGGAGAAAGCCTTTTTCTTCCTGCCAGTGGAGTGACTGGCTTGCACTGTGCAATGGTCTTGACCCCGTCAATACCTTTTAGCACTATTGCCCAGATTCAAAAAAGGGTACAGCCATGAAACATGGGTCTTGGAGGGACCTAACACCAAAATGCCAGACCTGACAGCACCACTCTCCTGCAGCTGCTTCCTAATGCCGCCGGGTGCTTCAGGTTTTTAACGTTATAAGTTCTGACAATGTCTCACCTATGGACCCCTAAAAGTCCATAAAATACGAAAGAGGAAGGACTTGGTCTGGTGATGCAAATGTTAATATCGCAATCCTGCCTGTGGTTGCAGCGCACAGCAGCCAGCTGTTGGCTGGTCTTTCCTCCTGAAGGCAGCCAGCTTCAGCTGAGCTGCCCTTCTGTGTAAAGTATCCTACAGCAGCGTGAAAGAAAGGGGGGAAAATTGTGCTTGCATAATGACTGTAATTTCGATTTTAAAAAATCAGAGGAAATTAAATGTCTCGGGAGCTTAAGATGTTCTTATCTAGTTTGTCAAATATTCTTGTGTGAGAAAAAGATGGTGTTTAAGAAAAAAAAATCACTGTGCATTTTCTGCACATCTTTTTCCATTTTGTCTTTCCATAGGAGAAAGAAAAAAACCCTCCCATCCTCTGACTGGCGTTTGCTTTAACAAAGAGCATGAAGTAAGCAATTTTCTTCTTTTTTTTCCCCTTCAAGCTAATTGGCTGTTATTTAGTTAATTGACAATTGGTTTCAATTGCTGTCAAACAGGGACAGTCACTGCATTTCTGCAAGATTTCTAAATAAAAGACTTCCATCACGGTACCCTGCCCAGCACTGGCCATGTTAACAAAGACTATTGCAAGTGCATCATCCAATTAGCAGCAAAATGGGAAACTACAGTGCTCCCACCGGAAGATTATGGTTTATGTACAGTCATTTGGAGCTGTTTCGGGTACAAAAGGCCTGTTTGTACACAGCAGCAGAGGGTCAGATTGCAAAGAGAACCACAACATTTACTCTGGCTCTCTCAGGGAGCAAGTTAACCTCAATATGAGCAGCAGGAGCCAACAGCCCACAGAGTCCCGTGAAGCAGGGTGAGGAGACAGAAAGAAAGTCACTAGAAAGCTCCTTCAGCCCTGATTTGTCCCTTGGCTGTGAGGCTCGTGATAACAAGCCGTGGTGGAAGCTCTGAGCTGCTGGCAGTGAGTTCGCAGTTGAGCCCGTGTGCAGCCAGACGCCAGCCTGATGGTGCCCACCAGCCATCCCCCGTGGGCATCACAGGCAGCAGTCCCCTCCCTGCAGCATCACTCTGGAGCGGTGACTTCTCACGACAAACGTTGGGGCATGGAAACACAGACACCTCTCTATAACGTGCTCAGTTACCACAACAAATTCCCTCCCAGTTTTTCCAGCACTAAAGCAGACCACCTCGTTCACCTGGCTGGCTTGGCACAGAACTGTGCTCCTTTGTCTTGACTGACAGCTGCTTAATTCCTTGGCTACAGCTGCAGCTGCAGAAAGGTGCTGCATGAAGGCAAAGGCATCCTCCTTGCCAAATAAAAGTTGATCCCACCTGAGCTGTTTGCAGAAGCTGAAGTGCTCTGCTTGCTCCTGAATACTAAGCAGCTGCTTACCTTTCGCAAGTGTTTGCTCCCACCCATCACTTGCCTTTAGTTTAATCCAGCGTGTGTCTTTCCTCCTCATTAAAAAAAGAGCAGGGGAGGAGAAGTGCAGAGGGAAGCTCTGAATGAGGAATGCTAGCTAACGTGCTCCTGATTTGGGGGGTATCACAATTAAAATGTACTTTTCTGAGCTTGGCAAGCCCATGTGCCAACCCAATTGGGTACGGACAAGGCTACTATCAGCATGTCAGTTCAAAATACAGTTCAGAGCCGGAAGTGCAAAATAGCCATTATGTTATCTTTGCTGGCAAATTCTTTAATACTTTACAGAGGAAGTGTAAGCTGGGAGAGGGCTGAATGCCCCTATTAAGACTGATCTTTTCCAGCTCATATGGTCAATCGTATTGAAAATTTATAAACATAAATAAATGTTGAATTCTAGGACCAGTTTTTTCCTGTCTCTCAGCTGTCCTCTTTGTTCATTTTTGCAATAAAAATAATTCAAATGAGTTTTGAGAAATCTAATGTTAGGAATATATTGTTAAACAAAACAGATGAAAAATAGGTATTTGTGTGAAATGGTATTTCAATCTTGGCTTACCCCAGAAGTCAGAGATGATGGCACCTGCACGACAGTAAATTGTACTCACCCAAGTCCCTCACACATGCACAGTAACAATGAATGGATGAATGAATGAATAAATAAAAGTTAAAGAAAGTCTGGATTCACTGTAGTCATGACTCAGCCATGCTTAAGTAAGCAAGAAGAGGAACTGTCAGGAGCTGCTTCTTGGTTTTGAGCTGATCAGCTGCACTACTGAAATGTTCCTTCATGAACAGATCTGCAGCTGCATTAAATATGTGAAAAATAATTTAAAAGAGAATAATTTGGTGTTTGATAATGTGGCAAAAAGGCCTTGTAGCATACACTTACAGTAGCTATATTTCCAGGCAGCTGACTAGATTATATCTAAAATAATCCAGTCTCTTCCATACAAACATTAGGGGTCTGCCAAGGCTGAAAGCTAAAATACTGTAAAAGCGAAGCTGGAATTCTTCCTGCTCTAAATGTGCAAAAGCTGTGTTTCAAGCCAAAGACCATCCAGATTACCAGCCATCACACCCACCTACACTGCAGGATTGAAGATTAATTATTCTGGCCCCCAAATGATTGTGATGCAGGAATTCAGACTTCCCATAGACATAAAATGGGAAATCTGCTTTAAAGAAAGGTGCTTAGTGTCTCCACGTTTCTGCCGTATTATAAGAGCCTCTTGTCAGGATGGCTGTAGGCACAGCGCACATAAGGAAGGCAAAGATATTTGTTCTCTCCTATTTATTGCATACTGTATTTGTATCACGAATATCGTCAGCAGGGGACATCACCAAATACTTCACGAGCAGTAAGTTTAAGTCCTTAGGTCAATACTGAGTTTGTTAAATGTCTGTGTATCACTGTAGGTTGAATGTCCTGCAGCTACCCTACAGCAGTTGACCAGAACAATCAGAAATTTTATTCAGGTGGATTTAGTGCCAGGACCATGAATAAACAACAAGGAAAGAAAACTTAACTTTGAAAAGTATTTGGGAAAAATATTGGGTACTTGGGAAACTTGGAATATGGTCTTACATATTGAGCATATTATTATGTTCCATGTGATCAATGACTATGTCTGCATATGGTATTTATTCTTTATTTTCTCCACTTAATGAAAATTGGATTTTTTTCCCTTCATATCCTGATTTCTTTCAGCACTATAATGTAGCCCAGGATTCCATTCTATAATCATGAATTTTTGAAGGAGCCTCTTTAAGGCTCCAGAGTAGTGATTTTCTGCGCCACTGAGCCTGCCTTTTTTTATTAGCAGAGATTGATTTTCTCCATCTTGGCACAAAGTTCCAGGGTATATCCTCTGGATCATCACGCTGTAATGTGCAGTGATATCAACAGCACAAGATGCGAATACTCCAACTTTAATGTTATCAGAAATAACAGCTTTAGATCACCAGTGTGAAGAAACCGGTATTCCATGAAGCCATCAGAAGCCATTTGCTATAGGAATGGAAACTTACAATTATCTTGAAGCAATTTATTCTGGATCAGATATATTACAGTTCCCACAGACAGGTTCCAATCCCATGATATTGTCCATTATGCCTAAATCTACCTATTTTGAGGAATTCTAGCCATTTCAGTGGGAGCAACTCACAATATATGAACACGTACAGGTCTTGTAGAATGAGAATTTGTTTGACCATGTAATCGTGACTGTGTACAACAGTCAGCAGTCACAGCAAAAGACATACTCATCAAAAAGCTGTGTGGGCTTTTCAAGACAGATGCGAGATCAGTGCAGTGAGGAGCTTCCTTCTGGCCATGCCTCTTCCAGGTGAGTTCTTGCAAAGACATCGTAGGCACCCCAAGGCCCTCAAGAGGTGCTGCAAAGCTGAACAAACTGCTGCCTGAACTAAAAACTACTGCTGAACAGGAATTTGTGGAAGGCTGTAATTCCCCTTGAGTTCACTACAATCTGAAGGCATGTATATAGAAAAGTTACACTAAATTCTTTCATCAGGAAACCTACTTACTGGCAGGAGCAACAGGAAGGCACAGTTTTCCTGGAAGGTGATTCCAAGCAGCTCCATAGCAT